TTAATTTTATTTTTTATTATAATTTATGTGTTTAAAATAAGCTATTCGTTCATGATATTTCTATTTAATTTTATTTTTTTACTTTAGCTCGGATAAGTATGGTAAAAATTCCGGTAGCGAAGCGACGGGTTACAACTAGTTTTTTACAAATACGTAGCCGGTGATCATCGCATCTTGTTTTTTACGGTTTTAGGGTAAGTTAGGTAGGGTCAGATGAAAAAGTTCAGAATTAGGTTTTTGGGGGTTCTGAACATTTTTCTCAGTACCCCTGACGTGAATTAGCTACGTAATAGGTTTTGGGATATAGCATCCCAGTGATAATCACCACCGGTTATAGTTAGTAATATTGTTAAATATTATTTTGGTGTATTACGTAATTTTTTTAGGGGTGGAGGGCAAAAAATTTTTATTTTATTAATATATTGCAGTACGTATTGTAAGTGAGAACAGAATTTAAGTGAATTTTAGGATTAAGGTATAGGTTTATATACCGGGTGTTTTGATAAATCCCTATACAGTAAAGTTGGTTTTCGGACGTCCTAAAAATTTTTGAGCTTACTCTAGAATGCTCCAAATTCCTGAAAAATATTCTAAAGTTTAGGAATAAATACGGAATTAACTAAAATTCATTATAAAGAGGGTCGTTATGGGGATAGTTGACTGTGCTATTTCTGATCGAAAAGTTATAATATTAACGGTCATTATCTGAGAAAATGTCATTATCCGAAAAATGATAACCATAATTGGTGCGACAGATAATCATAATTAATTACCGTTACGCATAATTGTGTGATCAACTTAAAATATAAATCTAGTTAGCAACTGTTTTTATCCCCTAAATAAACTTTATCTTCAAAAAAAACAAAACAAAAACAATGCTCGACTTACTAATGACATTCTTTAGCTTCTGGCTAATCGTTCATACAATCGTTCATTTCATACAGCAGAGATTACAGGCAAAAGTATATGCTTTTTAAATTTGATTTCGAAGCCAATTCATTTTTTATATAATAACCGATGATTTATTTATAGCAAACATTAACAAACAACCTTCGGATATCACAAGTCCTTCCTACATCAAGATCATCACGGCAAAGTTACTCTCCGACATTTCACATATCAAATAATCCTTTCAATATACGATTTTCGACTAATGCTTTGAATAGTTTTTTTGTATCACTTGTCAAACGAATGCCAAATGTTTGGAAAATATGGTTTAGTATTGGAGTATTAGTGGGCATTGTGACTTTCTTCTTTGGCATTGGGATCATGGTTGTGGCTAGTTGGAAACTTTTAATTGGGATACTTGAATTACTTGGATTAAGTTGGACAGGTGAGGCAGAAAATATATCATCGAATATAATAAATAAAAGGAGCTTTGAAGAACATGTTCGACACGACGTAAATGATGAAAATAACCAAGTATTTATTCCTGTGGTAAGTAAAAAAATAAAATTAAATAGAAATATCATAAACG